TTCTCGTTGCCGTCGTTGTTGCTGAAGCTCCCTATTAATTCGCACGCAAGGACAAACAATTACGGATGATTGAGACGTGTCAGAGTACACCGCACTATTAGACCTCATAAATTAAAAGGCATCGCAGAAGCAGTTAAATTCAGTGGAACCTGATTTTTGACGATTCGTATCCTAGAATATCGAGGGAAAAGTCTACCGGTCGGGTTTATTTATCATAAACTATCAAATGCTGCCTTCGAAACCGCAGAAACCTGCCTTCTTACCTTCTTGTGACGTGAAACGGCAGAAAACAAGTGTCCACAACAGCAGTCGGTAGACGACTTGCATGATACTGTCTCCGACGGAAATCTTTCGTAAAGTAATGCAAACGATAACTATTTTATACTAAGAACAGGACGTCGACACAGAAGCTAAGATTGCTACTGAGTCTGTTTTGACATCGCACTGTAAGGCGTCACGTTTCAACTGTCGGGATGACTACCACATCCTTTGTTGGAATTAGAATTCGCTTTCCCAGTCTCTTGCAGTCAAATACACTACGTGCTGACTAGTTGCATTCTTTTGTGGAGACGTCACCTGATGAAAGACGCAACAAATCGAGACTATGGTTTCAGTCTCTTTGGGTATCCGAAAAGACCCAAAAAGAAAGTGGCTCAGTGTGTTGTGGCTTTTCAAAACTTTCCCTTTGGGTCCTAGCCCAGGTAAAAGTGGTGCCCTATTTTTTTAAATGTCTACCATCTCTGCCTCCTCTTTGGGGGAACTTTAATCCCATTTAGTTAATGAACTGGAACTAAAGAATTTTTTAAGGTCCAGTCTAAGGGGTTTTTTTTTCCCATTCTTTTAGGCTTGACTTTTAGCCCATCGGATTTTTTTGTTAGTCATAAAGGACGCTCAATGGTTTCGTCTTTGTTGTTTTCCTTTCGTGAACACTTTATTCAATCGATACCATGCTCAGAGAAAGCAATTGGGAGTATTTCGACAACTAGAAGCCAAAATACCAGTAGCTGAAATAAGAAGTGGCGTTGTAATAAATCTCTCATTTAATGGTTTGACCTGAAGGACTTTAGGACATACCGAAATTTCACCTATTGTTCGTAGTTTTCTTCACCTCAGAAGGCTACGCGAATCGCAAAATATCCGTTCGTAGGCAAACCGTCTAACTCGGAGGCGTATTTATTTCTGCGGTTTGACCCCAACAATACAAGTCTTCCAAAAATGCCGACACTCTTCTTGCACAGAAGTGGGTGCGCCGGCCTATGAAGGTAGAGATCCTGGACAAAATGTTCGATTCGTCGTTTCGTTATGGCGTTTCGTTGTTTCGTTATGTCGAGTCGTTGTTTTCCGAGTTCGACTCGTCGAACTTTCAGTTCGTTTCGTCGTATTGTCAGTTCGATTCGTCGGCTGGCCTCTTCGACTCGTCGTTTTACGAGTCCGACTCGTCATCGACCACATCGGTTCGTCGTTTTGTCGTTTCGTCATTTCGTCATGGCGTTTCGTCGTTTCGTTATGTCGTTTCGTCGTTTCGTTATGTCGTTTCGTCGTTTCGTTATGTCGTTTCGTCGTTTCGTTATGTCNAGGGTAACTTTTTTCCCCTTTTTTAAAATTAATTAGAAAAAATTAAACCGAATTTGACTAAAATAATTGAAAATAATTGAAGAAAAAAAAAATTTTTAAAGATACAGAGTACAAGTGGACCCATTTACTTTTACCCCAGAGTGCAAAGGAACCCTTTTCTGTTCCTTAGTAAGGTCTAACCATGAATACTGCTCTGAGATATGGTCCCCATATTCGCGTAAGAACACTGATAAGCTTGAAGGAGTGCAGAGACGCGCCACTAAATTTATTTTGAAAACTAAGGATAGCTATGCAGCTCGTCTTGAGAAGTTAAATCTATTATCTTTGGAAGACAGAGAAGAGTTTTAATTGACATAACTTTCTCCTTTAAGGGCACTGAAAGGGTTTGTTGAAATTGATGTTTCACCTTTTGTGGATTATTACTCTAGTTTAGATTATTGTTCCTTGAAACATTATGATCATCTGACGTTAAAAAAAAAATATGCAAGGGCTAATTCCCTTAAAGATTCCTATTTCCATTGAGTAGTAGTTTCTTGGAATATGTTGCCTGTTGACATTCGCACTGCAAATTGTACTGGGAATTTTAAATTTTATGTGAAGAAATTTCTTGTGGGTAAATCATGATTTTATTTGTCTTTATTATAATATAGAATCTCATTCATACTATACGTATTGGGTGATCTGGTGTTACATGGGGTCTGGGACTCTTTGCAGATTCTCCTATGGCCTTTTTAAAATTTCTTTTGGTTAATTAACTGTATCATACCAGCATTTGTGTATTTATGCCATTAAATTGTAATAAATAATATAAATAAATAAATAAATTAGCTCTTTTTATAGGTTGAAATCACTCCAAAAAGTAGCAAGTGGAGAAGGGGACTGACAGTGAATAGCATGTGGCCAGTTCGTTTCCAAAAACCTGATTACTTTTCAAAGAATTAAATTAAGAACCCACTGAAATCTCATATTCGATAATAAATCTGGTTAAATTTCATGTGTTACTGTAACATCATGGGGCGAAGAAATGTGGTATATACACAGCTGAAAGCATGAACTGATTCTTAAATGACTTGGCTGACTCAACTTGAACAAAGTCAAGTAGTGAGAGTGTTGACATAATTTGACGTGCAGTCACTGAAAGGCATGAAACATTTGCAAAACTTCAAAAGCAAAAAAGACATACTTTGATTTTACTTATATGAATTAATCAAGTTTGAAAACATCACAGATTACCATTTGGCTTGAAACTCCCCCAATGCCAACCATTCTCNAAACGACATAACGAAACGACGAAACGAAATAACGAAACGACGAAACGACATAACGAAACGACGAAACGACATAACGAAACGACGAAACGACACAACGAAACGACGAAACGACATAACGAAACGACGAAACGACATAACGAAACGACGAAACGACATAACGAAACGACGAAACGACATAACGAAACGACGAAACGACATAACGAAACGACGAAACGACATAACGAAACGACGAAACGACATAACGAAACGACGAAACGACATAACGAAACGACGAAACGACATAACGAAACGACGAAACGACATAACGAAACGACGAAACGCCATGACGAAATGACGAAACGACAAAACGACGAACCGATGTGGTCGATGACGAGTCGGACTCGTAAAACGACGAGTCGAAGAGGCCAGCCGACGAATCGAACTGACAATACGACGAAACGAACTGAAAGTTCGACGAGTCGAACTCGGAAAACAACGACTCGACATAACGAAACGACGAAACGCCATAACGAAACGACGAATCGAACATTTTGTCCAGGATCTACCTTCATAATCAACTGCGTTTAATCATCAGAGGTTAATAGTTGACCGATGCGCTCATAATATCAATGACGAAATGAGGTTCCATGAAATTCGAAGAGGTATCGATATTATTCATAGCTAAAAAATTTAAGATCTAAGTACAGAGGAAAGATGGCAATTAGGGTTGAAAGTGAGGTTAGATTGGTTCTTAGCTTCTCAACTCTTTCTGCTTCCAAAATCAAGATAAATTGTTTTTATTGTCTACCATTGTAATTTTTAGCGCTGAAAATTTGTGGTTTGATCAAGCTAAACCCTATGATTGATGTTTTGCTATCTCTCCAGCACAGTCCTGCTTAAGAATGATAAGTTGAGGTGAGGAACTTCTTTTGGTCATTTCTTGAAGTGAACGAGTCAATCTAATAAATAATACATTACCATGAGTTTTATTTTATTGTTAATTTATTATAGTAGGTCCACATCAGCTGTAAAGTTGCCTTATTCCCCTTTTTGACCTGCTTTACAAAATAAAGTTATGTATGAATGTATATGTAATTAGTATCAGGCCCCTCCCAGATCTCTCACCGGCTTGCTTTTTTCAAGACATAAAAATTTCTTGCGGACGAAGATACTAATCGGCGAGGTGAGGGTGTACTCGCGGGCTAGATCCCTCCGGGTCTATCGACCAAAAAGTAGAAAAGATGAAGAAAAAAATTACGAGTAGGAGTATGACTAGGCTCGATTACCAGCTGCTGTTCGGAAACCAGAGCCCGCGCTCCTCCGCAAACCCATGGCCGTCTCTTCTCGGGAAGGAACGAAAAAGACTGGACATGGACTCGAGAGAGCGGCGTAAGGAATGACGAGCGAGTCATACTCCTTTTCTAAGCCCTTAAACTTTCCATGAAGGAAATCATCGATTCCTAATCCAGGCAGAGTGTCAGCATTTGAAATTCGTTAGAGTTATTGCAGCAACCAAGTACAATCGTCTGGCATGGGGAGGAGGGGGGGAAGTATACCTCGAAGAAAGCTATCTAACCACTGATTACAATCGTTGAGGTTGAGGGTATGGGAATTCGAAGGTGGATGGACAACTAGTCGCCCCTTCCCAATGGGGAAAAAAAAACACTCATGGTTATCTATGCGTAGAAATTACTTTTCAAGAAACTCTTCTTCTAAGCTTTTTGAATGGATTAGATGGCATTTTGTAGAAAGTGTCTCCGCGCGATATTTGTCAAAAGGTTTGGAGATGATGAAAACCAAGTTATGTAGACTACATTACTGATATGACTGTAGTCCAAGACGAAAGTGTTGTCTCCTGTTCAATAGACGAACAAAAAATTAAAGATGTTATGACTGAGTTAATGTGTGCTGTCACGCAATTTCGTGTGTGGCGTGACGCACTTTGTCAACGCAAACACTGGAAACTAGTGTCTATCATGGCAGCGTTACTGGGATTCAATTCTAAAGAGGTCTATGAACTGAACTACCCGTTTTGGTGCCAAAAAACTAGAAAAAATGGAATATTGGACTCATATTGACTATCAGTTCACGTTGGTTCTTGTTTGACGGTGTTTGGGTGGAAGAAAGACATCAGAGAGGCCGATAAATCCTGAGGTGGAGACCGCGTATGATGTCTTCGATATCTTAATCAACTCCCAGAGGTGAGGAAGAAAACCTAAAAACTGTTTGACCAGCGCATTTTTTCAACTTATTTCTGTTTCCTCTTCATGTTACGAGGTCAGCCGGTCATGTGATTGAGTATATTCTGATATTACTTGGGCATAGCTCATAATATTTTTCGGGAAATTCAAATACAGCACAGTAAAAAACTGCTTGCAAGAACCGCGACACAGATTGCCCATTTTTGTACCCAAAAATTTAAGAACCTGTTCAGCCAAGCACAATCAAGCAGTTTCTTTTACTTAATCAAGCAGTCAATCAATCAAGCAGTTTCATTTAGTTAACTCTCATCCCAGACCTCCTATATATCCTATGTATCTTAATATAATTTCTATAGGATCCTTAAAGAGCCTATATTCCATGAAATCCTCCTATATTTCCTATAAAATTTTATTAAAATTAATAGCTAGGACGACAGCTGAATGATACATTTACACTTTTAGTGCACCTTTTTTTGCATTTTTGCAGACAAAAGCTGATTAAATTCTTTCCTATGAATATTCACCCACTATATGTATTTCCTATTATTTGGCAAAGCCAGTGAAAATGAATGTTAAAATTGAAGTTAACAAAACAATAATGGCGAATATTCGCTCCGACGAAGGGCTAACGCTCGAAACATCAGCTTTTGTAATTGTTATGGTGGCCAATTTACCATTTCAACAACTTTGTTGATATATCCAAAGTATTTCATTACCCCCACCGATGCAGCCCCAAACAGTTTCTTTAGAAACTATCAGGCCTTTATTCAAAATAATAATGGGCCTCCTGTGGTAGTAAACACCAAAAAACCACTACTTAGGTCTAGTATTTCAACCAAATTTTGTTCAACTTCGGACTGAGTTGGTGTCAAGTGCAAACTGAGTTACCCAAGCCAGTTTTAATATAAGTTTTTAGTACAATGTTTAAAGACCTTATGGCTTGAGTCTCAGGATAAACCAAATTGTAGCTCATGCCTAAAATTTTAATTGTGACTTTCAGTTAAAATATAAATTTCTTTCGGTTAAGATTAAAGCAGTTCTAAAATATT